AATTGCTGATGTAGTGGACAGTTTTGAGGCGAGGTGGGGATTGGTTTAATATTATTATTTTTATTTTTATTATTATTGTTATTATTTAATTGTTATATAATATTATTTATTATTGCATAAGTAATTATTGTTATGTGTAATTATTGTTTGTTTTAATTAGTGTTATGATTCAGGTGTCAGAAGCTGAAATTGGTTTATAAAGATCCGAAGCCAGGTTTCGATAGAACTCTTGTGAAGGGAGTTGTGGCGAGACTTTTTCACATAAAAGACCTTAGACATGCTGCGGCACTGGAGGTTATTGCTGGCGCGAGTGTGAGTTTTGATTTTTTTTGAAGAATTTTCATTATTTCTACGAAATTTTGGAAAATTCTCTAATTTTTGTGAGTATTTCGGTGGGATTTTAAAGATTTTCAGTTTTGTTTGATTTTGATTTTGATAACTTTGATATTCATTTTATTCTTATTTTAATGGTTTATGGTATTTTTTTAAAATCATTTTTTCGTTTTGGTTGATTGTTATGAAGTTTTTTACGCATTCGTTGTCTCGATTTTGTCTCATCTTTTAGGTGGTGCCTTATTTGATTGATTTGTTGATTGATTGATTGATTGAATGATTTCTATCTCTGCCAGTTTTCCGTCTCTCATTTGTTCTCACACTATTTCTTACCTGCGTTTTGTGAGCGATTGTTTTGGTCTGTAATTGCGCATGGCAATGTAGGCGTTTGTTAAAGGGTGCTGAAAAACTGGGAAAAAAACTTTATCATACATAGTGTTATAGCGATGGTATTATTTATTAATACATTTAATTAATGCATATTATAGTGGGCATAAATAGCGTTAATTAAAAATATTTTTAGTGAATGATCTCTAGAAATTGATTTCATTCGATATGTTGATAGCGTTGGCATTTTATTTATTATGGTATTATTGACGGCGATGGTGATTATTATTACAGTTAGTGACAGCAGGAATAGTAATAGTAATATTAATTAATTAGTAGTAAGGAATAGTAATTAATTAATTAATGGTAAGGAATATTAATAGTAGTAAAAAAGTAATATTAGTAATTTAGTGCACATTCAAAAAGTATTGAAAAATGGAATTCAAAAAAATTTTCTCTGGAAGATTAGAAATTTCATCAAAACATGAGAATTTTCAACCAAGATTAGTTCAATTGAAAGAGAGTGATGTGGAGCTGCATCGTCTCGAAAAGTGTATTTTGTAGC